TTAGGATATCCATATAAAATTTGGTACAAGTATAGCTCACATATAGAGAAATATTACTACGAAAGTTTTTTGCGATCGGACCATAACTGGTCATAGCTCCCATACAAGTTCGCACATAACTCATTACTAAATTAAATTAAGATATCCATATAAAGTTTGGCAGAAGCACATAACTCATTACCAAATAGTGATATAAATAAATACTATTTTTATACATAAATACTATTTTTACGAAAATCTCTTAAACGCACATTACTCATTACCAAATAAAGGTATTGATACAAAATTTGGCACAAATATTAGTTTTGTATACAAAAATTCAATTTCAAGATATTTGCACGATCGGTTCATAACATGGGTGCGGTCGGTCCCATACAAGGCTCCCTTCAGAAAATCACTTAAACACACAATACTTATTACTAAATTACGATATAGATACAAAATTTGACTGAAATATAGCTTTTATGTACAGAAATTTAGCTTACAGAATTTTTTACGATCGGTCTATATTTGGTCATATCTCACATTGTAGGTCCTGCCCCTAAAAGCTCTTTAACCGTGTTTAACTAGTTGCATTATCAATTTGTGTAGAACAAAATTATATATATGTATTTTGAAAATCCTTAAATCTTTCACACACACATGCATACATACACATTACTAAATATTGCTAAGCGCTATAAAAATATAAAAGAAAATGGCATTTGTAATGTTCAATAAATCTTGGAATCGTAATAGATTTAAGTTGTTTAAATCTTGGTATTTTTCTATTTAAGACATGAGAAAAGTTATTTCTACAAATATTTGATCAATTAGAAAAGTATTAATATAAAAGTAGCTGGTGGAGGGTATTTAAGATTCGGCTCAGCCGAATATAGCACTCTAACTTGTTTTTATTAGCTTCATAACTTATTTTTAAGCAGTTATTCATTCAAAACTTAAGAAGTTTGCATTACCTCCAATATAACTTGTCTGCCTGACAGGTAAATAAAGTTTTTTCAGGGATGATTAAATAACTTTGAAAGTTTCTTTAGTAAGTTAAAAATGTTTTTAAAAGGGCTGTTCAGATTACCCTCGTATATACATACGTGAGTACTTAAGTAATTTAAATATATTTTATACATCATTTATCCATTCATCTAGCATCATGCAAGCATATAATATATTTATGTAAATTTAATGGGATATTTATTATCTTTTAGGACATCTTATCCATTTTTTGTTTGTTTATTTTCCAAATATAAATAAAAATTATTCAAAATGGCGTGTCAAAAAGATGTAAAAGTAGGAGAGCATTTAAAATTTATTAAGTATGAACATTTTAAGAAAATGTCTACCATTGTAATTACTTTAGAATGTATAAATGAAAACCCTATATTACGACTCTTCATAATTAAATTTAAAGGACCAATCCCATTATTACTAGGCCACAATATAACATTGAGCAGTTATAGATTTCTAGATTTTTTTTATTAAATTCATATAAATGAGAGGCGCCACGGACACTATTGCCAATCCACTTATTGTATCATCAAATGTTCATATTAAAACTAAAGCTTCTTGTATACAATTTTGTAGTGTCATGCCCCTATTGTTAATCTTTCCGTTTTTTTTCCCAAATGTTCACATAGATGTCTCAATTGTTAAGAATTATAGCTCAAATAGCTTTCCAGACCTACTTTTGTATTAGTCTCATATACGAGGTATCTTACAAAGGGATCTCTTTGGACCCAAGTGAAGCATATTTCTTTCCGGTTACCTATATAAGAGGTACCACACCCATTATTATTCCGACCATATTTGTTTTAAATATTTATAATATGGACTATAGGTGTTATATTTTCTCAGAAATACTAATATCATATCTTCTGTCAGTCCGCACATTTTGTAACCAAACATTCATATGTGTGTTACAGTGTTATAGTTTCCCAGAATTCATATATTGACTTCATATCGAAAGTGCCACGTCTACTATTGATTGTATGATCATTTTGTCCCTTAATATAAAAATTAATATCAAAGTTAGCAAAATTAGAGAGCTCTAGCTCTTTTAGTATTTCAAATATACGAAATTTACTCCATTCCGTTCACATTTTCCCAAACGTCAATGTTGTCCGTATAAAATTTAAGAAAAGTGGTCTTTAAGTTTAGAGACAAAAGCTATATAAAGTTTACGGTTATATAAATTAGTAGCCGTATTGTGACTTGCCGTGTGATATGGACCGAACCTACAACAATTTACTTATTTATTCACTACATTAAAATATTAACATTTATATGGAGTCATATCTCGGAATATCAAAATCCTCATGGCAGAACATTTTAAGGAAGCCATTTCACAACAATAGACCTGGGTCCTCATTAAATTCTAATACGATCCAACCATGTCCGTCCGTCTGTCTGTTGAAAGCACGATAGAGTCCGTACGGAATGAGCTAGAGGATTGAAATTTTCCACAAATATTCTCTATAGGTAAGGTTTGTTTGGTATTGAAAGCGGGCAACATCGGTCCACTTTTTCGGATAGCCCCCATACAAGTGGCCCACCGAAAAACAGCCTTAACGGGTATATATGTTTTAAAAGTACTAGTATAGCGATAAAATTCAACATAAATAAGTTTCATATGAGACAAAATCTCCGTACCAAATTTTGTAAGGATCGGTCCATAATTGATCCTACCCCCCATATAAGGTTCTCTTCAGACTCAAACCACCATTAAATTTCTAAACCCTAAGTTTATAAACATACATATAAAACAACCTTCGAAAATTGCTCTAGCTTGTTACGCATAACATACCTACCGTGTACCGTTACACGGTAGGTATGTCTAAAATTTGACATGGCCAAGACGGTGATGACACGATTACTGAACATAGTGCGCAAAATCTCGAATGTTTGATTAGCTGTGCGACAGGTTGCGAAACCCTACTAAAACCATAGATATAGATCATAATCACCGAACGTAATACTTCTAGATATCTGGATATAAACTTGTTATTCATGCTTATATCTTTCAACAGGCTGATAAATATAAACTGTAAAATTAATAAATGTATTTTGAGGACATTTTTAGGAAAATTCAAAAATCTCCTTCACAAACTATTTAACTACAGCTAAATCTCATACTTGAACTTACCCAGCTAGCATTTGGAAGATTTTTGGATGATTAATCAGTAAACTGAGTCTTTTTTGACTCCTTTTGATGACCTATGTATATACGGTATACAATGATCAAAAACTGATTATTTGAAAATACGATAACAAAATGTATAGCAATAGTTAATTTATCAACCTTGTGTTTAAAATATGATAGTTCTAAAAATTATTTTATGATCATATTGTAGAAGATCTAAATTTTTATACCTTACACTGCTATAGTGTGAAGGGTATTATACGTTTGTGCTGATGTTTGTAACGCACAAAATTGTTGATCCTACACCCACCTTAAAGTATTCCGACCGACTCAGAATCACTTTCAGAGACGATTAAGACATGTCCGTCCGTCTGCCCGGCTGGCTGACTGTCCATGTTAAACTTTTGCGCAAGCTACAGGCCACAATTTTCAAGATATTTTGATAAAATTTTGACCATACGTGTTTTTCGGCACAAGGATGATGCCTATGAAAATGGTTGAAATCGGTCCACTATTTCACCTAGCCCCCATATAACCTGACCTTCCGATTTGGAGTTCTTAACTCATAACTACGTCTAATATACTACTATCTCTTCAAAAGTTGGCACAACTAAGTATTTAGGCATAAATGACCATGCCATATAAAATACTCTTTTAGAAGAATCGCAGATAAGGTAACATTTTCTCGACGAAAGTATCGTTTATTATCAGAAAATGAGAAATCAGAAATGATAATTTGAATCATGCAAAAGAGTCATAAATGACTCGAATGTGATTAAAAATTTCAACGACTATGTATTGGTGCAAAAAAATAAAACTGTATATTATGTTTAAATAATTTTATTTAAATATCATAAACATTTTCTTTACTTCTTTCCCAAAATTTCCAACTTAAAAACTTAAAACTTTTCTTAAATTTTTCCGCAAAAAAATTTTCGCACAATTTTACTTCATCAATTAATGGTTAATTGAACAATTGTTTTAATTGTAATAGAAATAACTAACTAAAAATAAAAACACTTATACCGACATTAGCTTTATGTAACATTTAATTTAATTAAATTTTAATTGATTTAATTTATATACAAATTTAGTTTTTAAATTACAATTTAATAAATACAGACACACATACATATGTAAATCTATATGAAATTTTACATGATTATGAAAAATTCTTTATAATTCGAGGAGTTGGGTTGGTTTTGAATTAAAATTAATAATTAAATAACTTAAATTATGAAGATAATTTTTGGAATATAAAACAATTTAAATATTTTAACTTAAATGCTAATAAATTCGTTATTAGTTAAATGAGAGGTGTGGAAAAAAAACATTTAAATACAATTAAAATATTTTTTTAAAGAATACAATTAAGACTAAGAAAAGATTACATGGGATTGAGTGAGACCAGGTGAAAGGAGTTTGAATTCCAAATGTGACTATACTAAAGATCAACTTTAGAGTTTATAATTAATTTTTTACAGTTATTTGTGATTTGTTTTGCTTTAAGAAGGAGATGACTGAAACCTTTAGTTTATATAAAACTCTTTGTGTTGCAAATCTTGTTCTCTTGGAGAGAGTTGTTTGTTTTTAATCTCAAAATAGACCATTGAGAGCTTGTACCGCTGTTCCCAGAGTTGTGCTAGCCATAAGGGCTTTTTCGCGTTCTAATTCTTCCACTTCCGCTGGATCATGCTCATCCGTATGGAAAAACATTTCCGCCGGATTCACTGTAGCCGTTGTGCTGGTGGTTGTTGTTGTGGCAGACGCTGTTTGATATTCGGTGTGAGTTTCAACTGTCAGCAATTGTTGGGGCATGGAAGCTGCTGCTGCAGCCGCTACAAATTGCAGTCAATCAATTAAAATACTCTTCGAAGTATTGTGGTGAGCTGAACCGCTGGTCGTACCCCCAAAAGTAGGTGAGAGACGACTGTGGACCGTGGTAGCCAATGAATCTGCATAGTATCTATGTCAAAATACTTTGGCAATGAAGGGAACATTGTCCATGGCGGTAACGGCTGCTGCAGCGGCTGATAAACGCTGATGATTGGCTTGTGTTAGATGCTGACTGTGATTGCTATTAAGATGGGGCGCTGAAGCGGCAGCATGTGCTGTTGCTGAATTTTGGGCAAAGTTTATGAATGCCGAACTACCGCCATAATCCGTGGCAGTTCTAAAGTTAGTAACCGCGGGTTGGTTTAAATTCGCTGCTGTGGGTGGATAATTAAGCGAATTCGTTGTATATTGAGAGGAAGTATGCCAAGCTGAACTACTGCCTTCATTGCTGGACAATGGTGGTGTAGTTACATTGATGGGCGGTGACATTGAGCCATCCGATGAATTAGAATTCAATTGACTGTTGTGAAATTCTATGGAGGCTTCTCTTCTAGTGTATTCTCTACGTCTTTCCAAACGATCATTGGTGCTTTCATCATCCAACTGCAAATTGCCACCAATATCATGCAATTTACGCATATGTTTCTTTAGATCGAAATTGCGACAGAATCCTTTGTGACAGACGCGGCAGGTATAGGGTTTCTTGTCATTGTGGGTGTGCATGTGGAAGGTTAAATTGTAAACTTGATGAAAGGCCTTATTGCAAATGTTACACTTGTAGGCTTTTTCCCCACTATGGGTGAGTTTATGATTCTTGTAGTTGCCCTTCTGATGGAAACCTTTGCCACAGAATTCGCAAACAAATGGCTTATAGCCGGCATGAATACGTGTGTGGGTATTGAGGGTAGAGGAGCGATTAAAAGCTTTACCACAGGTCTGACATTTATGGGGTTTTTCGGAGGTGTGTATGATTTTATGACGACAGAGTGTAGATGCTTGTCTAAAACCTTTGCCACAGACTTTGCATACAAAGGGTCGAGCTCCGGTATGTACGGGCATGTGTCTGGTTAGATTGTAGTGAGCATTAAACACTTTTCCACATTCTAGGCAGGAAAATGTCTTCTGTTTGCCACCATTAGCTGAATTGGGACTATCATCCAAAGAACTGGGGGAATCGGCACGAACACGTTGAGGTTCTGGAGGCGAGCAGGGATCACTGATCGATGAAGAGGTGTTATTGTGACTAGAGGCAGGAGAATGTTTGCGTTTGTTGGAGTGATAAGGAGTGGAAGGAGTCTGAGAGGATTCCCTGGATTTGTGGCTTACAGGTGATTTCTCCAAAGTCTGGGGTAATTGGGGATGAGCGGCCGCTAAAGCCTGATGATGAGCAGCCTGGGCAGCTGCTGCAGCTGCGGCAGCAGCAGCTAAATGATGACTAGTGGTGGGTTGAGAAAGCTGTCTTCTCAAAGTTTGACTATGCAAAGTATTGAGAGAAGCGGTAAATGAACTCAAATGAGCGGCAGTAGCCGAGCTACTAGCCAATAGATTTTGCTGTTGGGCAGCGGTCAAAGCAGCATATTGGGCGGCAGCAGCAGCACACATTAATTGATTGGGAGCTGCATAGTACAGCAAAGGATATTGGCTCAACAATTCCTGATGGCGTGTAGAAACAAACTGTTGTACAGCCGCAGTTGAAGAGGAAGCATTTGCAGCCATACTGGCCGAGGGTACATATTTCTTAAAAGCCGAATCATAATTATCAGCAGCATTAGCGGGAGTGGTAATAATAACTTCACAATCATCACTGGTCACCTCAATAGGACTGCAAGATCTTTCAGAGTCCTGTTGTAGAGCTTGAGATGAATGCGAACGTTGATCGGGTTCCATAATTTTTGCTATGGAAAATTTCAAGGGACAATTGCGGGTACTTAACGGTGTAGTTGTTGCTGATGATGAAGTTGCCGAATTGGGTTCTGGTGATTTTTGACCAGCAGCACATTCCATGGTGGGACTTTTTGAAGGAGGCATGGTTACAGCTAAAACGCCCGTTGGACTGCAGGGTTGCATGCCACGAGGACTCTAAAAAGAGAAGGAAAAATAATAAAATAAACATTAGTATAGGTTTTAGAAGCGAAAATCATTGAAGCAGCAATAATACACAGTTAAATAGACCTAAAAACCAAAACAATTAATTCAACTCGTTGACACACCTCTTCCACTACTACTACTACTCAATAAAAACTGAAAACTTTCCCGACGGCAGGATATCGCCAACAATAAGCTAAAGCCTCTGCTAAAAGGGTTGCCATAAATAAAATTGATTTTTGCATTACAACAAATATTTGATTATTTTCCAACTGCTGCTTGCTGTTTTATTTATAACAAACAAAGCGCGTGTTTTGCTTTTCAATGGCGTTTACAAAACTTTGAGTGATTTCCAATAAAAGAATTTATCGGTTTGTTTGTTGGAAAAGAAAATTTAACCCGTGCGGTTTTAAATTAAAAATGATTGCTTTGCCCTACACTTGAGTGCACTTTTTGTATGAAACTTTTTTTTTTGCATAAACACACCTCAAATTGAAATAATTTATTTAGAGATTTGCATTTCGTTTGTAATAAGAAAGTCATTTATTTTAATATATGAATTTGAATAATCAAGAAGAAACCATATTGTTTTGTGTGGTTGAATTGTTTTTTGGCGCAATTACCTAGAATTTCTTGTGTGATTTTGTTTGAATTTGATGATTTTATTTACACTTGACTGCAAGTGTGTGATAAGTTTTCTTTTAATAATTCTCAGTTGATTTTGTTTTTTTTTATCCCAAAGACTTCCTACTGTTGAAGTGTCACATATAATATGCCACATCCGTTTTATATTTATGAAACGTACGTTCTCCGATTTGTTTTGTATTTTTCCAATTGAAGTGAGCTATTTATTGGTTTGACTCTCGCTGTAGTTTTGAAACGTTTGGGGAATTTTTTTGTTTTGTTTATAAGTTAGGTTCTAATTAACTCGATTTAGCACTTGAATAATTTAATGTGAAGATTTCTTTAAGGGAGTAATGATGATTTTAAATGTTTTATTAAAGTAATGATTATGAAATCATATTTTTTGTTAAGTTATTTTATTAGAAATGTGTTGAAAGTGTTAGAAATGTAAAAATTAGTTTCTTTTAATTTTTAATCTTCGATTCCAGCTTACTTTACTCTAGAGGTCATAGGTCATTTTTGAATATAATTAATATTAAAACGTTATGAAATGCTTTTGAAACAAAACTTTTTAAAAACATGTTTTCTAACGTTGTTTTTAATTGAAAATTTCAAGATTTTAAAAGCTTTTTTTTAGAACTTGTGAAATTGGCAGGTTTTACTGTTAAACCTTTTTAGGCATTCAAAAATTTTTTAATATTTTCTTGCTTTTCTAAGGTTTAAAGTTTTTATATATAAATATTTTAGTTTTAAAGAGCTTAAAATAGTTCGAGAGTTATAGAAATGTACTGTATTAAAAAATCAGCAATGATATAACTCTTTAATCCTACGTTCCAATCCTCCCACGCTTTCTTATACTTTGAACACATTTTGGTAACTCTGTTTTAAAGAAAAGTAGCAAAAAATTGCCTACTTTTAGGTGTGTATATTATATATTGATATTAAAATGGCGGAAAGAGATTTCAGAAAGTCTGGGGTCATATGGAAAAAGATCTCTAATGTTCTATCACACTTATCCAGGTTAGAGTTTAAAGTTTTAATTTAAAATATCGATTTCTTAAAGAAATTATTGGTTTTTAGCGCAATATGGATTAAGTTTAGAGATTTAAAAATGTTATATATAAATTTAGAGAATTTGTTGTTGTAACAGTTAGCCTGTGATCGGTAGTTACTTTCTGGGAAAAAGAAACTTTCGTTTGATGCGAATGCCGCAGAGTTTTTAATCTTTAGCCGAGTATGACTCGATACGTACCGGCGCGAAGATTCAATTGTCGTGAGCAATGGTTTGACTAATTTGGTTCTAATTAACTTTGATCTGATAAATTCTGCTTTTCAAAATAATATTTTGGAAGGAATATTGGCAGGTATTTCACGACAAGTCGGCACTAATTAAACTCTTAAAATTTCAAAACGTAAGGATCCATAAGAAAAAGGATTTTAAATTATGTGTTAAACTACTCAAGAGAGCATTTTAAAGTTTTAAGATTTTAAAATTTTCTATATTTTAAAAGAAAATGTTGTTGTTGTAACAGTTCGACTGTGGCCGGTAGTTACTTCCTGGGGGAAAAAAAACTTTCGTTTGATGCAAATATCGCCGTGTTTACACTCTTTAGCTGAGTTTGTTTCGTTACGTACCGGCGCGAAGATCCAATTATCGTTGGAATGGTTCGATTTGGTTCTAATTAATTTTGAGCTCTTTTCGGAAGGAATATCGGGAGGTTCATTTCACGATAAATCAGCAGTAATTAAACTCTTAAAATTTCAAAAAGTCTGGATTCATAAGAAAAAGGATCTTAATTTTTTTATATTTATAAAGAAAATGTTGTTGTAACAGTTCCTATGGCCGATAATGCCTTTTTGGGGGGAAAAGAAACTTTCGTTTGATGCAGATAGTACTGAGTTGATAATATTTGACCGATTATGATTCGTTATGTTTCGGAGCTAAGATCCAATTGTTGTGGGAATTTGTACGACTATTTTGGTTCTAACTAATTTTGAGCTCTTTTCGGAACAATGCAGAAACATTTGTCCTGATAAATTAAGTTTTTCAAATGGTAGGTTCATATCACTATAAATTAGCTCTAAGTTAACTTTAGGTTTTAAAATTTATTTAAATAAATTAAATTTTGAAAATTTTTTATTCAAAATGTCTCTAAAAATTTAAAATATTTTAAACATTTTGAACATATTAGGAGTTTTGGTAAAATTTTAAAAGGAATTATAACTTATGATTCGTAACGGGTCCATTAAATTATCCTTTTTTCATAAATCAAAATTAGAAATCTTTATAGGTTACCGACGGTATATAACAACAACTTTGAAATTCTCCTAAATATTCCAATTGGAACTGCCGACGGTATTTTTTAAAAATTAACAAATTCAGATAGATTTTTATTTAAGCATTTTATTTAAAAAATTTTATAAAAGTTAAAAGAAAAAATACATACAAAGTAGACCATATTTGGGAAAACACTCCAAGTTTATATCCAATTTCGTGGGCGTTGAGTATTTGATTAAATTAAACACAAATGTATTAACACTTTTTGGAAAATTATAAAGTTTTTTTTAAATAATTTTTTGTTAAAAAATTTTCTAATTAAAAACTACAACATTAGTTGCAACAAACACTTGTTTTATTATTTATTTAAATGTTTTTTGTAATATAAATATTTATTTTTTTAATTAACTACGTAATTTTTTAAAAAGTTTGTAAGTTTGTTTGAAAATTTCTTTTTTTTTAGCGCGTATTTGTTTTAAACGTTTGTACGGTTGAAATACGAATGATGAGTAGTATTTGCTCAAGTATGATTAAAATTTATGAAAATTCTGAACAAACAAACCCCTCTGTACTGCAAAAATCAAACACACACACACAACAAATCTTAAGGGATGGTTTACACAAAGCAAAAGAGCAAAAGCAAAAACAACTAAAAGCACAAACAAAAATCAAATAAAACCAGGAAAATATAGAGAAACACCCTTAAATAACTAAGAAGAAAAACATCATAATTAATGATAGAAAGAGAAAGTAGCATGAGAAATACACAAATGCTAAGGTATTAGTGAATGAATGGAGAAGGATAATGCAGAGAGTGGAAACAAGAGAGTAAATGTTAAGGAGAAATTATTATTTAAATCCTGTTGTTGTAGGTAGTGCAGTTTACCTGATAAAAGAGCTCTGAATACAACTCTAATATTTACAGTTATGAATGAAATTGTTTACACAAACAAAACAACTCATAATCATTATTACGTTGCAGAAGATGTTAATGAAGTTGTTAATAATAATCATGATGATGATGATGTTTATAGACACAAACACGCCCTCTTTAAATATTTATGAATCTTTTTTCCTTATGAACAATAGGTGAGAAAGAGAGGGAAATATAGGAATTTTTGAAAGCATAATAAAAAATGAACATCATTTTGTTTTTAAGCAAACATACACACACATATATGCACATACATATACGCTTTGTATATATACAAAATTTATTATATATTAAAGCTTATATACACATGCATACTCCTTCCCCACCCGCCGCTAGTTAGACTCCCACAAAAGACACAAACATCTTTAGGAGCACATCCTTCAACACTTGCTCTTCTCCTTGTTTATAATACAGCAAAAAATTACTCACCGAGATAAAAGGATTCTTTTTTCATACAGACTTACATACATAAGTATGTTTGTATTGTTAATGCCCAGCATCTGTTTTTTGGCTTTTTTTTTTTTTGCTTATGTTTTCATTTGATTGTGTTTTTTGATAGCTTGAGGTATTCTTTAGCTCGTGGCATGCAACCACCATACATTTATTTGTATGTTGCATGATTCATTTCTAAAGTGGTTTTCTTAAAGCTTTTTACGTGTTTTCTTGGGTTTATTGTTGAGTGCGACACTTTTTTTCTTTCTATATACAAACACATACAAACATCTGTATAAAAGTATGCTTTTTTGTTGCTTCTTCTCTCGTTATGTATTTAATCGCAGGCCGTTTGTGTTTTGCTGCTTGTAGTAGGTGTCCTTTTTTTTGGTTGTTGCTGCAAGTTTAAGTGGTTGTGTTTGTGATTGCATTCAGCTTGTTATTTATTGTTAACTTGACTGTTTATTTTAATTTTTTATTTTCTTTTTGCTCCACCATTTTTGTTTGTTTGTTCGCTCGCCGTTTTTTGTTAACTGCAACTTAAAAGTGGCATCAACTTACTAAAAAGCGCTCTGATCTCAAATTGAGCACTGGTTAAACATTATTTTATATTCATGACAATGATGTTGATGACATCATCATTATCATCATCTTTTTTTTGGGAAGGCAAAGTAAATAAGCAGAAAAAGGGCCATATTTTTTTAAGTTAAGTAATAAATTCTAAAT